TAAAAACGCAAATAGCATTAATCAAAGTCGGTAAAATAATGGGACATTTTCTCAATGTAGAACCTAACAGAGAAAACGTTTTTTTCTATATCGACATTTGAATTTGGAAATGATCGAATAGCATTCAAAACATTTGTCAAAAGTGGATATTTGGCAATATTATTTGCGTGCCGACATTGCAAAATTTCTTTCTACATATTATCGAAACTTAATAAAGAAAGGCGTCGTTTTTCCTCTATTGTAAATTCTAATGCCAATGAAATCCATTCTTTTTTTAAAGCATCTTCATCAAAATTACCAATAATTTTAACTATGAAGGAAACATCATTAAACGATGTTTCTATATCAGTCTCAAATAAATTTTTAAAAACTTGTAATTTAGATAAAAATATATTTTTCACAGATAATCTTTTATGAATTTCTTGTGCAGCAGTTACATAAAACATCAAACAGTTCTGTCGAACAGCCATAACTACGTTTTCGTGCCCTTGCATCATTAATTTATTAAGATATTCCTCACATTTTGATCATAAAAAAATTGTATTAAGAATTTTTTTATTCTCCTTTAAAGAGAAGTCTACATCTGTTAATAAAGGTGTTAAATGCTCACTCTTTAAAAAGTTTTGACAAATTTGTTGAAGAAAAATTAAAGATTTTGATTGCAATAAATAAATTTGCGTTTCTAATGAAAAAATGTATTAAATGCATTAAAGAAATTTAAAACATATTTTAAAAAAGAAAATAAGCATTTGTTTCCACCATGCACATTGTAAATAATAAATTATTTGCAGATCGTGTTCTCACACACACAGTTTCTAGAAAATTTTTAATTATTATATATCCCAATATTCCAAAAATTTTTCTACATAAGTATAGCGAGAAATCCAGTGTGTATCATATTTTAATATTTTATGACTCGTTCCTTGGAAACATTTACAAAATTCCTTAAATGTAGATAAATGTTTCGGGGAGTCATTTATATAAGTAAAAATATCTTTTATACATTTTTCGCAAAATGTAGGTATTTTATCGCACGCATTATGCGCTACTAATGCGACAGAATGGCAAGAACATAAAAACGTCATTAAATGTGGACATAATTTTTTTAATTCCTTTTTAAATAACGAATAATTCTCTGTCATGACAGACGCGTTGTTGCATAACAAAGCAACAATATTTGAAAATGGAATATTTAATTCCAATATTTTATTTCTAAGTCTTTTACAATAAATAACTTGTCTGTATTGAAATCTTTGACATCGATACTCATTAATTCAACTAATTGTGAACGTACGTCTAATGTTTCTGAGTCAACGTATCGAACTTGAAAAATCATCCATATATTGCCTTTATAAATGTCAGATGTGAAGCCAATAAATACTGTAAATTTGGTATTTTGAATTTTATTAACGAGATGTTTCATTTCGATTGGGCATAAAATGTTCGTAATAGTCTTTGTGCATTTTGTTCTGCCAATGCACAAAGTTTTCAATATGTCAGGATCTTCTCCTGCATATTGAAATAAATTAAGTATCTTGCGCGAATGTCTATAAGAAATATTGTGATCGGTGAGTAATGCGGCATATCTGATCTCCGCTTCTTTTGCTCTTCAAGTGTCAAAAATGATTTACTAATTTAAAATTTAAAATCTTTATTTGATTTTCTTATTTCAACAGAACTACATTTACATCTATCTATATGTAGTTTATTAATTGCAAGAAAATAGATTCGCTTTTTAGTGCACAAAGAAAGACTTATTACAAATTAAACAGAAAAATTTAGTTGCATCACGTGACTCTTTGCGTAACCAATATTTCAATTCTTTAATCTCTAACCATTTTTCTTGAAATAGTGATAATTTACGATTTTTTTTTTTGATAAATTATCATCACTAGATAATAATAAATTCTTCTTAATATTATTTTTGTGATGAGTAGAATTCATTTCATAATATGACTCTTGCATGCTATATTTCTATCATATTTATAGCAGATAAAGAAAAGAATAAAAACTATTAGGTTGTTCGGAAAGTAATTTCGTTTTTTCTCAACAGAGGACTTATTGTATTTTTTCACAGTCAACTTCACACTTAAGCCGCATAATCATTATATATTTTGACAGCTGATATAGCAAGGCTTGCTTGTGAAAAAAGTTCGATTGATTCTACGCAGTAGTTTTTGGTTAGTGCCCTATCAAATATGAAAGTAAAAAGCAGCATTTTCGGCATATTTTACTTTTTTACTATCGAAAAGGTAAAAATGCTGTTCAAGCAAGAAAAAAATTATCCGATGTGTATGGAGAAGATGTATTGACAGAACGCCAGTGCCAAAACTGATTTGCAAAATTTCGATCTAGCAATTTTGATGTTGAAGATGTACCACGTTCTGGAAGGACAGTTGAAGCTGACGAAGACATAATAAAGGCATTAATTGATGCAAACCGGCGAATAACAACTCGTGAGATCACTGAGAGATTAAATTTATCGAATTCGACCGTTCATGATCATTTGAAACGCGTCTGATTGAAAATCGTCTTTCATTTTCATAAGAAAAAACGAAATTACTTTCCGAACAACCTAATA